TCTGTATTTTGACAATATTTAAAATTTGAATTTAAAATGTTTTTTTTTGTGTGTTTTGTTCTTAGATTAATTTTTTTTTTTTTTGGGGGTGGGGTTATGGGGCAGTAAGAAACACCAGGTCCAGAATATTAGGCCACCGGTGCAGCTGAAGAACAGGGAGCTGGTGAAAGTAAGGCTACTCACATCAAAAAGGCAAAGAGATGGTTGGTATAATGCAGGAAGGTAGATGTACTTTGTGTGCACCAAGGCAATAGTGCATTGGGTAAATTGGGAGTGGCAGAGAAATAGGTTGGACTGATACAGGACATGTATGAGGACAGCAGGACATCAAGACAGTGGTGAGATGTGCTGCAGGAGTGAGAGAGAGCTTCAAGGTGGAGGTGGGAGTGCCTCAAGGATCAGCTCTGAGCCCCTTCTTGTTTGCTCTGGTGATGGACCGACTAACAGATGAGGTCAGGCAGGAATCCCCGTGGACTGTGATGTTTGCAGATGACGTGATCTGTGGTGAGAACAGGTGGAAGAGAACTTGGAGAGGTGGAGGTATGCACTTGAAAGAAGAGGAATGAAAGTCAGCCGTAAGACAGAGTCCATGTGTGTGAATGAGAGGGAGGAGGTGGAACAGTGAGGCTACAAGGAGCAGAGGTCACAAAGGAGCAGGACTTCAAGGACTTGGGGGTCCACTGTCCAGGAACATGGGGAGTGTGGTGAAGAGGTGAAGAAGAGAGTCCAGGCAGGATGGAGTGATGGAGAAAAGTTTCAGGAGTGATTTGTGACAAAAGGGTGTCAGCAAAGGTCAAAGACAGTGGTGAGACCATCTATGTTGTATGGTCTGGAGACAGAGACATGGACAAAAAGACAGGAGACAGAACTGGAAGTGTCAGAAATGAAGATGTTGAGGTTCTCCTTAGGAGAGACAAGGATGGAGAAGATCAGGAATGAGATCATCAGAGGTACAGCACAGGTTGAACAAGTGGGAGATAAAGTTAGAGAGGACACACTGAGATGGTTTGGACATGTCCAGAGCGGAGGGACAGTGGTTTGGACATGTCCAGAGGAGGGACAGTGGTTTGG